TCGCCATTTCTTTCCATAGAGTTGGGACTGGGCCAAACAGAAGCACTAATGAACAGCTGTCGCTGTCGTCTAAAGAAATTGTCCCCGGTCAGACTGGGCATGAGGATCAGAGACCACGAACGCCATCGCTACGGTTAATTTGATCAGTGGATTCAGCACCCAAAATTTTCGGGAGTTTTTCTGAATGCAAAAAACGACTAATAGTTCTCCTATGCAGATGAAAATTTTGCAGAATTTTCACACTCCTGGTTAATTTATTCCAAATAGTAATTGTGTTAAGGGAAAACTACCGAAGACATTCAGCGATGCGTGCCAGAGGGAGAAATAAAAAGACCACACGTGACTGTTACGTGGGGGGTGGACAAGATATTTTAAAGTAGTGAGGGGGTAAAGATACGATTGTATAAAAGCTTAAATAGTAATCGATGAAACCACAAAGGATCAAGGCCTGAAAGACGACAACGTTCTTAGTGGGGCGAATTCCGGTGTTCCGGGGTTAAAACTCTCTTGGTAAAAAATGTTGGAAATATTCTATATTTTTTCGCTGAACAGTGTGCATAAGACTAAGTAAATACGAACAGTATTCCAGGCCAGTTCGAACGCACATGTTATAATGGCGCACTTTGATATCACTGGTTTTGAAGTTTCACAGGATAAACCCGGTCTTTGTACGTGCTCTGGAGACCATTAGGGTGCAGTGATCCAAATGATTAGGACTTTTGCAGAATGATGCGCACAGATTTTTTAGAACTGCAGGCAGATTTATGTCGTGATCGTCAATACTTAGTTGGGGTTAGTGGCGTCGCCGACCACCATGGCTGAACATTTATGCAAAGAAAGAGAAAGGCGTCATGTGTGGCACCACTGGGCAAAGGCCTGTAGGTCGCTCTTTAGGTAATCGAGCACGGTGCCACCATCTGCCGGCTTATATCAATATGCAACTTTCAGATCACCGGCATACATGAAGGGCTTGCCACTTTGGAATAAATCAGGTACATATTTAACAAAAAGGCAAAATAATAGCGGGCCGAGTACACTACACTGAGCGATTCTACTAGCGCCCGATTTTCAAAATAAAAATATGGCCTTTGTGCGTCTTCTGTTAAAAATCAGAACACTATGCTCTAAGAGAGTTAGGCTGTGAACTGTAGCCTCCACTATCCTCTTATACACTTATGTAAAGGCCAGCAATGCCTTGTTATGGCCGCTGACCTTTGTCACCCGTTAAGGGTAGTTGTGCTTCTGTTCCTCGCTCTAGGAAAATGCTGGTTGAAGTGCATATTTTACTGAAAACACCACATAAAGATGCTGATTTTGAGTTAAGTACGGCTTATGCTGTTTAAGGTGAGTCATCAAGAGCGATGCTTTTTAACCGAGGATAAAAACGTCGAAGGAGATGTATCATAGAACAACACTTATGTGAGCTGGACTGTAGATTATCCTGGTAAATCGAGCACCTTGAAGTAAATTATTCAGCGTTCAAGCTCGCCTAACTCACATGTGGCATTCCAGCTCAGCGGCCGAACCGAATGGACAGTAAAAGATACTAGACCCCGACGTTTTATCAACAACGCATATTAGCCAATATCATTCAGAAATAACTGGCTCCCACTGTTTGCTTACGTCTAAAATATTCAATTATTATTGAGCATTTCGTATACTTGAACGTACGTCTTTTCACATTTAGTTTCGTTGTCTCCTGCAGGTTACATTACACTCCGGTCCGAAGGTATGCCTTTCGTAAATTCCCGATCCCCAGAAAATGTGTTAATGTATTCTTGAGTCCAAGTTACACGGACGGCTTTCGTTTAAACAAGTACGCACTACTTCACACGAAAGCTCTCCGGGGAATTCAGGCACAAAAATATTTAAACGCATTTTTAGTATCTATCAGTGTTTAGGAAATTTTCAGAAAATACTGCTTAATTCGAAATATTGGAAAGACTTTTGGTGGGATTTGTTGCAGGCAGCGATCATGGCCAGTCTAGTGTCATCGCCCAAAGCCTCGCTGCCTCAGGGTCATTCGCCTTTTGCAGTGAACCGTTCCAAACGTGTTGATCCTAACCCACTCGACTGAATTCTGATCGGACACACTTGCGTCCACACGGTTGCAACTGCCCGTGTGGTCACTTGAACGTACATCCCCAATGCAACCACAAACTAAGCCCCTGAGACACCACTCCTCGGCAAATGCGACAGACGCCGACTGGAGACCACTTGAGATTGGCCCACGAGCTTGCAAAAGCGGCTGCCACGACTGTCCCAGGGACGCTCAGGTATGACTGGACGCGGCCAGCACCAGCCCCGGGTTTGCCAGTGGCCCGTGCCGCCTGAGAGGACAACCCTGAGTTTTGTATACATTAAACTCCTCATTCTGGTGCCCTCTGTATTCTCCTTCCAGCATGGGACTTGACTTGATGACTGTGGCCCACTGAGTTAACAGTCTTACTTCTTAGACGTCACAAGTCCAATGTTTTGAAAGAAATCCCTGATTGTGGTGAAGAATTCGACGAGAACACCGTAATCAAAACGTTAACTTACTGGACGTTTATAGACGCCGAGTGAGTTAAATCCTATTTTAGCTCTTTTTTAATATTCTAAATAAAACTGTATTTTCTAAAATCCTGTCCCTGATTTTTTTATCTTTATGCTACCCGTTACTCATTTTTCGGCAGTTGAAACTGTCGGACGTCACTTTGCTGGTTGTTTTATCCCAACAGTCCTATATTGAGATTGTAACTAGGTTGTCCATCGCTTAGGCCATACCTATAATTTTGCAGACCTGTACCACAGCCACCTTACTATCCTGACAGCAAACTTAGACTGCCAAGGCCTTTGATTGATTTAAGGCGCATAATCAAAATGAGCTGCGCAGGAGCAGATTCGATAAAGTTTGGGGGGTTTGTCGTGCCATGTCTAGCTTAGAAGAAGAGGAAGAGGGTCGTGCTTGTGTGACAAATGGCTTCTACGGGTGTTACCTTCTAGTATCAGTGGGCTCGCGATGTAAAGGAAAGACCTACATTGGATTTACCGTCAACTCAAATAGGCGTATTTTGCAACACAACGCTGGTCCTCAACGCGGAGGAGCCAAGTCAACGTCAGGAAAGGGTCCTTGGTAATTTCTGTGGTAAATCTTATTTACAAGGATTATGGCATTGATTGTTCATGGCTTTCCGAGCGACATATCTGCCCTTCAGGTAACTTATAAGTTAAATATATATATTTAACCTTATAATTTTTTATAGTTTGAATGGGCGTGGCAAAACCCTTATCAATCCCGGCGGCTTTCTTTCGTCCCTCCACGCACGAAACGGGAATCCGCATTCGACTTTAGGTTTCGCATTCTTTGTCATATGCTGC